AAAAGAATAAGGTGGAAGGTCGAAGTTGGAACAATAGGTCGAAGTTGGAACAATGTAGGAAATGTTTCTTTGAAAAATAGAATGCAACTTGACATTTCTACACCACATGCATACAGGAGAATAACACGTCCGTGCACGAGTACAGCACCTTGGTACTCATTCAAAACAAGTGAATAACACGGCAGCGCATGTTTAAGACACAAAAATCACGTGTATAACGCGTCCGTTTAGCTCGATAAAGCATTCCACGCCTGTACATAAAAAAGCAAGGTATGTCACGTGAAAGTCACGTGTATTTATAGTAATAGGCGTGTGTTGTACTACCCTGCTGACGCGAAACTCCGCCAGAATTATAGCTTAGGGGGGAGAGCGTCGGTCTTTAAAAGCGGGGTTTAGGGGTTCGACCCCGGCCGGCTTCACTTTTTTGCACTTTTGACATGGTAGCTTTTAAGCGTGATCTTCCCTACCAGTGTATTCCTGAGACTGAGGCGATTCTCCCACATTTTTTTGCTAAAGATTTAATAAGAAAAATATTTCGGAATATTTAATTTCCGATTACTAGTCATAGTCGGTCAGTGACACTCAACTTTTATGTAGAACTCGAGTCGGTGGAGTTGATCAACGCAAGGGAATTATTTTTTTATGCTATTATTCGTTATTAAGAAGGATTATACGCGTAAAACCAAAGTTTTACAAGTGCAGGGGCCTAGCATAGGCTATGGATGCACGATCATTGCCCACCTATTTGGCTATGAAAGGTAACTTTGCTGCTAATTGTACGCCACTCTATGTACAAAGCCCAAAGTTCATTTAAACCAGATTGGGTTAACACTAAGGCTCAATAAAGGACATAATAATGAAAGGGGGCTGTCCCTGTATGAATTCTCTTTCATTTACTTGTTGAACTCTTATCTTGATCGGTAAAATGTTAAAGAACACTTTTACGAGTCTAATTTTGAAAGTTACAGAATCATTTTTCCGAAGGCCATATTATAGTCTACAGCAGAGTCTTATTAGGATCTAAAAGAGTGGTCTACCACCCGAAAAGAAATAAAATGTCTCTCGCATCCAAACACGTCTGTATCGCGATAGAACACGACTACAACACGTCCACACGCGTGTTACATGTTCATACAGGTACAAACAAACGCGTAACATGTCAAAATACGTTTAAATGACATCAAAGTACGTGTAGAACGCGTCTGCACATGTCGGCAACACGAAAAATAGCGTGTAAATAAACCAGCAAGGCGTGTCGTGTTATAATAATGTAGTTTTAGGTACCACTGCGCTTTTCCTATACTAGAATTAATTTTTTTTATATCTCCTGTTCTTTTAATGTAACATTTAACCCTTGTTGAGGGATAAGGTTAAGCGGACACATGGATAGTTGGGTAAGAGAGTGAGAATAAGGGACATTGAGACAAGGGATGGGAAGAGACAAGATTTAGGGATAGGGTTATGCAGACACAAAGTGAAGTGAGAAGATAAGTGACAGAGAGAAGGGTAAGGTAGGTGTAAGAGTAAGGAGATAGTCAAGGGAGGGCAGAGACAAGATTTAGGGATAGGGTTTCGTGGACACAGTATTTGTAAGTAGAGAGAGTGAGAAGAAGGGGTAAAAGAGGGGTAAGAAGGAAGAAGAAGGAAAGGGGAGTATCAGTAGAGAAGTTTTAGGGATAGGTGTTGGGTTTACAGTTTATTTCAGGGTAAGTGACGGTGTGGGAAGTGATAAATGAGTGAAAGTAGAGTAGTAGAGTAAGTATTGAGCGAAGGAAGGATAAGCAGAGAGTTTTAGGGATAGGGTTTCACTGAGACATGAGTAAGTGATAAGGGAAGATGTATGAGTGTGAAGTAGAGAGATAAGAGCAAGGGAGTGAGAGAGGAAAGACTTAGGGATAGGGTTTCATTGACACGAGATAAGTGAGTAGACGGACTAAGGGACAGGGTTTCTTTGACACGAGATGAGTAAGTAAGAGTGGATTGGGTGTGGAAGAGTGGGAAGAGTAAGGGATAGGGTTATACGGACACAATATAAGTGAGTAAGAGGATAGAATTAGGGATAGGGTTTCTTTGACAGGAGATAAGTGAGAAAGGGAGGAAAGACTTAGGGATAGGGTTCTACAGACAAGAGATAAGTGAGTAAGTAGGGAAGACTCAGGGATAGGATTATACATACACAATAAGTGTAAGTAAGGGGCAGTTAGGATTAGGGGTTGCGTTTGATGAGGAGTAAGTGACAGAGGGGTAAATAAGAGTGAAGTAAGAGTGATTGACAACAGAAAGAGTAGCTACATGAACTACAAGAGATAAGACACAGTAAGAGATGCGCTACATGAACTACAACACGTAGAGAGTGAGTGAGGTAGAGGTTAAGTGACAAGAGAGTGAAAAAATAAAAAAATTCTAAGATGACTGGACTAAGTTGAAATGAGGTGAAGATAGTAACCCTGACGAAACATAGAAAAGAATCTCTAAAAATAGCGAAAAATCGTGCAATTTCAAAAATGTATGACATGCCCCACCTTTGATTGGCAGAAGGCAAGTTACACAGGTTTAAAGTTAAAATTCATGATTTTAAGCAGGGAGTCAATTTTTATTTCACTATTAAAAACAATTTTAGAATAAAAACAAAAAATCCGGCTCCGTTACGCTCTGCGCCTAAAACACCGCTATCGAACGGTACTACTTTCAACTCCGTCCGACAGGATTTGATTGGATAAAGCTGCACTGAAAATGGACAATTTTTACGAAATAATTTAAACTCCGCTTTTTCTTTTTTTGGGACTTTTGAACAAAATTAATTTTTTTTAAAAAATTGACTTTTTTGGAGATTCCTGTGCGATGATTGGCTGGATAACGGCAGGCATGAAAAGTACTAGTTTAGGATTGTTTCTAGACGTACTTTAGGTAAATTGTACTATATTCTAGTCTATTTTCATGATGAAATCGCAAAGTATTGTTCTATATAATCGTTTCTTGCTTTTTTGGTCTAGACTTATTTTCAAGGTAGGATTCATTCACCTGGCGGACCTCTAGCATAATTATAAACGACAGCCCGGTATTATTACAGACTGTAAATTCGTTATTTTAGTTCCAGTATGGAGGCCAATATATCTTTGGCAAATTATAATCTTGTAGAAATTAAAAAATATGGGCCCTGCTACTGTTTATGTATAAAAAATAAGTAGAAATATGTAGTTTAGTTGCTTTTAGAAAAGCAAAGCCCTTCTGTATTACAAATTTTAGCAAATGTCAAGCAGAAAAAACTGTCGTCAATCGGCTTAATAAACCCTAGCGTATCCTTGTATCATTGGCATGATGATAAAATTAGTTTAGACGAGTTGTTTATCAAGTTAATAGAATAAATTACGAAATACGAAGTGATTGTATGTATGATATATATTAAAACTGGGAAATACCTGGAATTAATGTAGGACTAACCAGCTCTTCTTTGACAGGAAATGGGAAGACATAGTCGAATATTAACGAAGTAAGGATCAAGACATTAAAAAAAAAAATAATACTTAAGGTCGTAACTGTTTGTGAACAACCAGTACTGATAAACAATTGGAATAGGTGTAGAATGATAAAGGAACTTCTACACTGCATATGGTTTAGACGAAACAAGAATTTAGGCAGTTTCGAAACTACCAATTGATAAAGACATAAAAAAAACCAACAATAAAGACAAATAATACTCTCTGAAACTTTTAAAAGATTAACGCAATCCATATCGGTTTAAGAATACCTTCTACGTTGATGATGCAAGTACTAGAACAAAATACCAAGCATACGTCCTAACCCAAAAGATATTTGGAAAAAAGCATCTTTTAAACAAAATGCAAAAAAATATTTTTCAAAAGTCCAAAAAAATTTACAGCGACATGGGAATACTTTTAATAGAATTCTAATCGTCTGCGCTCCGTACACAAATTGTTAAAAAAAGTCTATATCATAAAGCAGGTCAGATAAACAAACGTTAGATACCTAACCTAATGATACCTGGGCTAAATTCACAAAAGGTTGAATTGCCACAATAATTGGCCTTCATATAATAATTATAGAAACATATTTTGTAACCATTTACGAAATGTTATGAACGAGGAACAATAATTGACTAGATAACCCGAGTCTTGGGCAAAGAAAATTTCAAGTTGTAGAGTAAATGTTATTTATGCCACAAGTCTAAACTGCTAGTATTCGTAACGGTTTTAGCATAGATCAACTCTGTTAAAAACATGATATGAACTCCCAACAGTCATTGATGAGAAAACAATTCTTCAATTGTTCGACTACAACTTCAAAGTAAGTTACAATACTTTATTGAATAATTGCTGTAAATTGGGGAATACCTGCAACAGTCGCCTTGATTACTAGTGCAAATGTGAGCAAAATATTGCAAACACTTAACAAAATAACGAACAAGTAGCGATGATGGTATTAAAAGGAACAACAATTGGAAGGCCTTGTAATTTTTTATCACAGCGAAAAGTCTGCAATTATTTAAATAGTTTAAGCATAGTATAAAGAAATTGTAAAATACACACCAGATAAACAAATCCTGAATTCACTCATTATTGAAGAAGAAACAGTCTAAAATACTTAAAGAATTTAGAATATTGCCAGTTAATAAGTTTGACAGCTGTTTGTAATAGCCACCATTACATGTATAATTTACATAGTGTCTCCTGTATGACTCTCAAAAGTTTAAAAGAGCAATACTAAGAATTCGTTGCAAGCCGAAAGAATTTGGGAGAAAAGTACACATATGACAAAGAAAGAAAAACATTTTTCAGAAGTCGAAAAAAAATTTTAAAGACATTTGGATAGTGCTAATAGGTCTAGAATTGTTATCTGTAACTGTAGAAACTATTAAAAAAAGTCTAACGAGAAAAACAATCCGTATATCAGTAACGTATTGTTCATAAATGAGTAAAATGTAAAATTTTGTTACAGAGTCACTCAATACTAGTCAGTAGTAACCTACAGAGTGAGCGGTAATGACAAATGGTCTACACAACAAGGAGATTACTTTTACGCCAAACATTTACTTTGAATTTAGTTATAAAATGATCACGAGTGTGAAGGTTAAAACCCTCAAAATATGAAAAACAGCCGGACTCTATTCGTATCATTTCAGGTAACCTTTAAACCAAATTCGAAGGGCGTGTGGTCATTCTTTATAAAATAATTCGGATAAGTCTGATACGAAATACAGAACATCGAACAATCCAATTAAAATTCTACTAAATTACTGGTGAATACCATAAACACTTTAACGAATATGTAGCGCATATTTATACAAAGCACACGAAAGATTAATTAAACATCGAGGAATGTGAGGGTGAAATCTTAAAAAACCCATACAATAGGTATGACATGAGTCAATCCATAAAATAATTTTAAGAGTAAGAGAAGAACCTTTTTTTCAACGAAATAATTTGTTGGCTAGTCCAAATAATAAATTTATTCAAGGACATCTACATTATACTGCTCAAGTTAAGAATTCCGCAAGTGAAGGAAAATGACTTGATATAGAGACAACTGTTTATTATCTTCTAGCCTTCAATAAGCATTTGTTGTTACCTCAACCTAGTTTGGATCATCTTTGGAAAATATAGACTAGATACTGTACGAGTAGGAGTACCGCTGTCTCTTGTATCTATTCCGGATGGCAGGCATCGTTTATCAAAGGCCATTTTAATCGGTTTCGCTTGCAAAACTTTAGTTTTACGCGTATACGCCTTGTTAATAACGAATAATCGAATAAAGAAATAATCCCCTTGTATTGACCGACCCTACCGAGCAAGTTCCATAAAAAAAGTTCAAAGGTCACTGACCGACTTTGACTAATGATGGGTAATTAAATATTCCGAAATATTTTTCTAACAAAATCTTTAACAAAAAAATGTGGGAGAATCGCCTCAGCCTCAGGAATACGCTGGTGTGGAAGATCACGCTTAAAAGCAGCCGTGACAAAAGTGCAAAAAATGAAGCCGGCCGGGGTCGAACCCCTAAACCCCGCTTTTAAAGACCGACGCTCTTCCCCCTATGCTATAATTCTGGCGGAGTCTCGTTTCAGCAGTGTAGTACAAGACACGACTAGTATTTTTAATACACGTGACTTTCACGTGACATTCCGAGCTTTTCTATGTGCACGCCTAAAATGTGTTTTCAACCTAAACGGACGCCTTAAACACATGTTTTTAGGCCATAGAAATGCGCTTTTACCTGTTTCGCACTTGTTTAAATGCGTGACGAGATGTTGTGTCACGTAAGTACATGTTAAACTTGTTGGAAGGCGTGTTGGATCTCTGTATGGACGTTTTATCCTGTGTTATACCCTGATGTAGACGCAATGGAATGTTAAGGAAGCTTCATATCATTAGCAATGGTGTATTCATTCTTTCTGTTCTTGCAATACCTATTATGACTGCGCTACCTCCTCAGTATAGAGTAGATTGATTGACTAGGAGCTGTAATGAGTGAAAAATAAACTTGTAACGACACAGTAATCGACAAGACTTGAATGTTTTGACTAAAACGAACAGTCACAGTTAGTCGGAGTAACTTTAGCATTATACCAAGGCTGTTTCCATTACGCACGAGGTAAGCAGAATATATGTGGACAAAATAATGAAGGTAATACTTTATAAAATATCTTAAAAAGAACCACACTGCCAATTGAAACTTTGAAAGACGGTTTTGTACAACAGCAGATGCACGCCTAGTTAAAATAACATCTTCTGCATGAATCCTTAAAGTTTCAAAACAAAATATCAAGATTCCGTTCCAAGCCGAAAGAAATTGGAAAAAACGACACATAAGACAAAAACAAAAAAATAATTTTCGAAAGTCGAAAAAATTTTCTAAGGACATGGGAATACTTTTATTACGTTTAAAATTATTTTCTTTATGTCTACATTTTATTTAAAAAAGTCTAGCCCAAAAAATAAAATGTTTACAAATGAAATAAAGGTAATAACTGAGTAATATGCAAAGATTTATTATGGAGTAGCTCAAAATTAAATAGCTGCAACCTGTTAAGAAAGTGGTAACAGTTAATATGCTGGACTGGAAGACGATTACGTATACGCCCAACCATTTTCTGTTATTTGTTAATAACATGATCTCCGATTATGAGTCGACTTGTGTAAAGACCATTTTTAGAAGAGGATGCGAGTAGAATAATAGAGATAAAAGAGATTCTTTAAATAAAATAGAGGTGTAGTAAAGAAAGGTCTTTAGAGTTGCGAGTTAAGTGAGCACCACAGCTAGTTTAATCGGAAGCTGAACTGAAAATAAATGAGAATAAGTATAGCCTTATGTGCTTATAAAATAAAAGATACAATGATAATATATAATCAAGGGATCAATCAGAATGATAATAGAGCTGAATAATATATAAAACTAATAGGTCAAAGTATTGAAATATGAGTAAGATAATAGATGAGGATTTTTATTGAAAGAGAGGTCTTATGGATGCCTATTTATAGTGATGGATATATAATCCAGTCACTGAAATTAAAGAAATTAAATAAATTTATGAAGGAGAATGGGATAACTGCGCCTAGTAAGAGGTCACAGATCTATGGATAAGAAAAAGATGGAAAGAGGTAGTTTTGACAGGTGCAAGCCCGAAAAGGCGTTATGCACTTTGGTAGGTGATTAAAAGAGAAGATAAATTGAAAGTACGCTCGATTTGTCGCGTAACACCATAAAGCATGAAAAACGATTGAATTTGTTTTAGATTTAGCCAATTTTTAACTAAATAAGAGGACCTTATGAACATTTTGGTTAGTAGCTCGGATGAAGGCCAGCATAAAATATAAAGTATAAGAACATATCTTTAATGACTTGCTTAACAAACGAGGCGTAATACAAAGACTGTAAGTATTATTTAGCGCATCTATGTACAAAATGTAAGGAAGATTGATTAAAAAACGAGAAAGAAGTAGTCAAACTATTAAGAAAATACAACAGTCTATACGACATGACTATTTTCATGATAATAAGAAATGAAGGACTATAGTATAACTTAAGATAACAATAGACCTTACGTACACTACAACCAACATCAGCAGATGTAAATAGAAGCGGTATAGAATTAAGTACTTTGTATTATAACAAAAATGACTCAAAAGATCACCTTATCAGCAAATAACTATTGCTAAGTCATCTTGACACAATCCCAACAGGGCAGGTTAAATCAGCCGTATCGTCTAAGAGATTTCTCCAAGTTTGTGGACAAATGGCAAATAATTGGTCGCAAGCCGAAAAAAATAGTGCAGGGAGGATAATTAAAAAAAAATTGTAAGAAGTCGAAAAAAAGTTATAATGACTTGGGAATTACTTTAATAAGATGGGAATACAAGATTTAAGGTATGGCTACAGTTAAAAAAAGTCTACCTGAAGAAAACGGTTATAAAACAGAAAAAAAACATGAATTACTATGTCTAAAGACAGTTTTAGGCAATGGTATCTTAATAAATAAGTCTCCCATTTATTTGGAGGCGTGTAAGCTTACCATGAAGAGGATGTAGCAGAATAATGACCATAGCCGAAAGGAATAAGAAACAATAAAGACTTAAGATAAAAAAACAAAGAAAAATATCAAAAGTCCAAATAATTTTAGAACTTCTAACAAACACTGATAATGTCTTCAGCACGGTATGTAGTATTTACCTAAACAACAAAAAAAGGCTAGTTATACAAAAGTTTGAAAAGAATGACAAAGTCATATAAAGTTATAATGGGTAATAGTTTCAATGGTTCCCAACTAAAGCGATTATTGATGCTGCATACTGTACATAGCTATAAATAATATTCCAAGACTACTAAGATATTGTGGACAAGAAATAATTTAAGGCAACAGCGTTTCCAACAGTAGTAAAACCGCAAAAAGAAATAGTATGCGGCACGATATTGTAGTTTCCAATTCGACAAGAAAACCAAGGTACAAAGTAACTTAGACAACTAAGACGCGAATGAAACTAATAAGGCAGGACAACACTATATCATAGATACTAAAGAATCAAAACAACAAAAGCAACGAAGACAACACAATATGTAAGACCACATCGAACCCTGTATAACAAAAGACTATGACAACGACTAAATGAAGACAACAAAAATTGACTACACAATATAGTATCCAAGACATTGACATATTCAAAGCATCAAGGTATGTCACTCAACAAGACATATAAAACAACATTATATAAGACAACTAGGTAAGTATAACAACATGTTATCTAGGACAACCACATAAGTAGGACAACTACATCTCTAGGACAACAACCTTACTAAGACAGCATGATTTCTAGGACAACAAAATATGCCTTACAACAAGACATCCAAGACAATATGATATCCAAAAGGAAATGATCTCCAAGACAACAAGGTAAGTAAGACATGAAAATGACTTAGGCAAACATAGAAAAAATACAACAAGGTAACTATGACAATGAAGGAAGCGAGACATAACAGTATTAAATACACAATAATATCCAAGAGGACATTGTATCCAAGATACGCCGTAACTAAGACAACTACAAATTTTAGACAAACTGATGTGTTGGACAAAAAGATTGCTAATACAACAATATGTCTAAAATATCAATGTCACTAAGACAACAAAATCACTAGGACAACATCATATGTAAGGCAACAACATATATAAAACAACTAGTTGTCCAGTACAACCAAATATCCACTACGTCAATGTACCTAAGGTAACAATTTATCTAAGACGACAATGTGATTAAAGCGACAAAAATTCTAGGAAGACAAGGTAACCAAGACAACAGTATGACTAAGACACCATAATATGTAAGAAGACAACGCAGTTAAGACAAAAGCGTGAGTAAGGTAAAAGGGTACCTATGACAACAGGATAACTTTAACAAGTAGAAATATACGACAGCTAGATATATTGATCAGAAAGATATCTAAGGCAACCAAGTCCATGGCAACCGAGTATCTAAGGTAATAATCTATCTAGGGCAAACAAGTATCTAAGGTAAAAATATCAAAGCCAACCAGGTATCTAGGGTAAGTGTATCTAAGACAACCAGGTATCTAAGACGACAAGACAGCAAGATCTCTAGGACAACCAGATAGTCAAGACAACAGAGTATCTAGGACAACGAAACAAGTAGTAAAACTACATAACTATGGCAACAGGACATCTAAGACGACCCAATAGCAAAAATAACAATATACCTAAGAATACCAGTACCTGAGACAACCAGACAATCCGTACAAAAGATACCTAAGACAACGACATCACGAAGACAACATAAACACTAAGACAACGTAATCACTAAGACAATAAAATCACTAAGACAACAAAATCACTACTACGACGACGACATCACTAAGACAATAATGTATCTAGGACACCAAGATAACTAAGACACCAAGCAGGAATACCCTGTAAAATATCTATGACAACAAGATATCTAAGACATAAAAATATCCAAGACAACGATATATATATATAAGACAAAAGGATAACTAAAGCAACAGGATAACTAAGGCAACAGAATAACTAAGGCAACCAGATAACTATGACACCAGGGTATCCTAGACAGCAAGGTATCCAGGACAACAAGATATCTAAGAAATTAATGTGATTAAGACAACAGGGTAACTAAGACGACTGAATATATATATATATGACAACAATATGACTTATACCACCGGACATTCATGACAACGGATATCTATGACAACTAGATAACTGAGACGATCATATAACAATGACGAACACATAACAATGACAAATACAGCATTATGACAACCAGATAACTAACACAACCACCTAATCTAGACAGCGAAATAACTAAGACAACAAACAAAACAATATATTGCCAACCAACTATATAATGAACACTATGATTATATAATGATAACCATGACTATATAATGATCACCATGACTATATAAAGATCACTATAACTAAATAATGATAACTATGACTATATAATAGTTAATATGACTATATAAAGGTTACTATGACTATATAATGGTCACTATGAATATATAATGAAAACTATGACTATTAATGAACACCATGACTAATAATAATCACCACGACAACCCTATTGCCTACGACAACCCCGTTGCCTACGACAACCCCGTTACCTACGACAACCCCGTTGCCTACGACAACCCCGTTGCCTACGACAACCCCGTTGCCTACGACAACCCCGTTGCCTACGACAACCCCGTTGCCTACGACAACCCTGTTGCCTACGACAACCCTGTTGCCTACGACAACGCTGTTGCACTTGACAAGGGAGAGAAAAATAAAAGAAAGACAATATAAATTACATAGGGTTAGGGTTAGGGTTAGTATGTTGGTAGAAATCGTGACATTTTTTTTAGTTTCACTTTTCCGACGTAAAAAAATGCGCTGAACACGAAAATCATAACCCCGATCCGGAGACATTATTTCCCGATGAGACATCGCAGTTTAAAAATGTTTACTTATGATTTTGGCTGTAAAAATAAATATAATCGGTGTTAAAACAAGATAATACTAATTACTTTAAAAATCTGACCGGTCCAAAGATGCCGTTTTTAACGCTCTTTCGAATGGTACTATTTACAACGCTGAACAATGATTGGTTGTTGCTGTAGAGGACTTTGAATATTCGGGTTTTTACGCTATAGGCAATGTTCGATGCTGCGTTGAACAAAATAATTATAATCACATCAAAAATCTGACCGGTCAAAACTTGCGCCTGTTTTTGGTCTTTTTAATGGTACTAAATACAAAGCTCAATTATTACTGGCTGTTGCGCTAGAGGGGTTTGAATTGTGTTTATTTTTATGCAAAGCGGGTGTTTGATGATCCAAATTTAAAAAATATTTTGATAATTACTTTAAAAATCTGACCGGTCCAAAGATGCGGTTTTAAACGCTCTTTCGAATGGTACTAACTATAACATTGAACAACGATTGGTTGTTGCTGTAGAGGACTTTGAATATTTGGGTTTTTACGCTGTAGGTCAATATTCGATCATGCGTTAAACAAAATAATTATAATTGTGTCAGAAATCTGACCGGTCCAGACTTGCGCCTTTGTAAGGTCTTTATAATGGTACTAATTACAAAGCTCAACTATTACTGGCTGTTGCGCTAGAGGGGTTTGAATTGTGTACATTTTTTGCCAGGTGGGTTTTTGATTATCGGATTTTAAATAATATTTTTATAATTACTTTAGAAATCTGACCGGTCCAAAGTTGGGCCTTTTAAAGACCTTTCTAACGGTACTATTTTCAAAGCTGAAACATGATTGGTCGGTGAGGAAAAGCAGCTTTAAACAATAACTACGTGCACCACACCGCTTAAATTTGGCTTCACTGTATGTTTTTTCTTTGGCACTATTTTTTTTTCACTCTGGACATCTACGGGCACCCCATCTTGGGACATGTTGCTGGTTTTTCATCTAATGAAAGCCTTTTTGGAGTAAAATAATTTGTAGCCGAGGATTTGAAAATAGAAAGACAAAATTGACAAAATCTACCAAGTCCGGTACAGATGCGTAATTGGTTAAAACATGTGTCCTATAAACTGTAGCGCATCTATAGAAAGCAATTTTTAAGTTACGTGATCATATATTACGGCTAGCCGAACTTTTGAAAATGTTATGACAAGGTTAAACTTTTTCTAATGCAGGGACAGTTGCAGAACCAGTATTAAAAACATATTGTATGAGATTTAGCGCAACTTTTAAAAGTAGTTATCAAGTCATTAAGAAGACCACCAATATTTAAGGGACATAACGTTTTGTCAACAAACAATACTGATAAATAAGGATAAGGTTCTAGAATGATAAAGGGAGTCTCTCCACTGAATACCAAATTGGAGGCACCAGAATTGACGCGGTATCGAACAAAATCATTCTTAAAACGTATAAAAAACGATAGTATGACGAAATAAAAGTTTATCTGACAGTGTTAAAGAATTTCTACAATGTAGATAGTGTTTGAAACAACTTCTACGTTGGTGCAGCAGGTATGAGAACAGAATATCCAGACTTTGTCACCAAGCCTACGCCAAACTATTATTTGGTATTTGTTAATACGTTGATCATCGATTATGAATTTAAATGTGTAACGACTTTAAAACATGAATAACAATGGAAATCTTTTAAAAACATTATAGCACGACGTTTAACCAAATACAAAGACCTTGTGATCATTTTTTGTTAGTAGGTCGGATGATGTTCAACTAAGAACTACAAACTATAAGACGATATATTTAATAAATTACATAGCAACTAGGGGATCTCAGATACTTGCAGTAGTATTGGCGCTTTTATGTAAAAGATATAAGAAAGATAGATCAAACAACGAGAAAGAAGTTGCGAAAGTATTAAAATGGTCAACAGTGCGTATGACATGACTCATTGATCGAGGACAAGAAGTGAAGGATTATTGTAAAACATAAG